CTACAATATCTTCATGTTGCTATTTGCATACACCTCTTCATAATCATCAATTTTAAAGTGAAACAGAACATATGTGATTTAAAAAACTGCTCTAATGTAGGTTGCACATGCATATACTGCCAACAACAGACAAGAGTGAAGAGTTTGGAGAAGGCAGGAGAAATGAGCAATCTAGAACAAAATAGCCAATTTGGAAAAATTCTCACTTTCCAGTTCAGTTGTCCTAGATTGTTTACTTCTGCCTTCTCCAAACACTTCACCCTTTTGTGAATAACCCTGAGAATCTCAACCAGAGAAAATCTCTTATTTTCAGAATGCAACATTTTGTTTTGTAGAGGCATGTCGTGACTGTGCATGTCAGTTTGTGAATTGCTTGGATTTGCAATCGATTGTAAAATCTGAATATCTTAATTTGTTTTAAAACACATGTTTTAACCAGCATGGGCTAGGAATAGCCTAGCATATTCTATCACTGCCGTATACAGTTTGTTTTTAGTGTTGGCAGGCTGGGATTTGCAGGCACATGTGTGATGGTATGCTGCTGGTTGAATATAAAATAATGCACTCGCCTTTACTACTGCATGGGGGTAATGGTACAGAATAGCTAGTTCGCAACATCAAAATTTTATTTTGCATTTGCCAATATTCCCTGTTTGCATGAAGTTATAAACAGTTCCATCCCCCATTCCCCATCTGCATCGTTAGACCTGCAAAGATTAATTGCATTAAATTTAACTTTTACCATAACCACGAGTTATTAGAATAAAAGATGATTTGGGTTGATTGTAGGATGGGCTACATACAAGCTTGTTACCATTTACTAAATTTATGGAACGATTATAAACAAGCCTTGCTGAATGACAAGTTTTAAGATAATATATACATTAAATGACGTTTTTACTAAGTCTTGGCCCATGTTTGTAATTGTGTATCTCCTATGCATAAACTAAGTATATTAAGGGCTCCACTGTGTGCCAGATGGAGTTATAAATGGGCTTTTTAAATTGTCTACTTAGTAATATGGTTTATAAAAAGATCTACTGATAACATTTACAGATGTACAGCAAACTGCAGCAAGTTGTAAAAACTCCAGTCAAGCTATTATTGTTCATGGCTACTCTATGCTCTAAAGCTAGATTCTGTAGCTATATTTTAAGTAACTGCCACCATACTCTATTCAGACCCAGACTGAAATGGACTTAAATATTTTTTTACATTAGAATGCCTGTTGCACATCCTGTAACAAAACAAATATGAAATACATTTATAATAGCTAAACTTCTGTCAGAGTACAGGAGCACTCATGTTTATGTCTAGAAGTTTGTATTGATGGACTTTTAAGTAATCTATTGTTATAGGTTTTGTGACCCTATAGCTGACATTTCCAAGCCAGGCCTTATTCTGTTTTTAAATATCCTTTAAAATAGGACCTTGATAGTTGCCTGGAATATATTTGCAAGCCCTGCATCAAGACCATAAGCCTGAAGACACTATTTTGGATAGAACTGTCCTTGTCAGCTGCACTAGATGTAAATAAAACCTGTGCATTTGTTCAGACAGCACTGGCACTTTGTAAGTTGTCCTCTACCATCTTAATGAGCATCCCGGGAAAGATGCAGGATTACCTTGCCGCAGTGAAAAATTGTCAGGCCCATTTATCTTTAGGCTCCGTGATGAACTGTGATTTAAATAGCTGGTTCTCCACTGGGACCCGAGAGATCTATCAAACTTCAAGGAATGAAAGGGGCCATTTATCATCTGCCAGGGCCTCTTGTAGCTTTTTGTCAAATAGATGTGACATTCAGACAGACAGCACCTTGTTAGTTGTAGCTCAATGCTTTGGACAGGAGGGGATACATCACAGCACTTGTTTCCCTCATGGAAAAATGAATAAAATGGATTTTTATTCTCAAGGCCTAGGATATCCACGATACTGAAACATGTTCTTTTCTGGCCTATGTGTGGATTTGTTTGGTACTAAAATAATCCTGATCCTATTAAGGAAGACAATTTATTTAGAAAAACAGTTTAACTCTAGATTTATTAAAACAAAGTACTACTACAGAGTACTACTAAAATCGATATATCACTTTATTTACAATATGTACAATAATTCATAAGCCTGGATTTTGTCATCAAAATTAAGACTGTTGGTTAGGACCCCCATCTTAGGCAGAACACTTGTTTTGTATGTATGTGATATTTGCTTTGTCATAGATAACTGAGACTCGTTGTCCTGTACCACCAACCCTTCTAGTTCCATTAGAACTAGAAGCTATTAGATTAGATGCTATTGCATGGGCCTTAAATCACATGAGAGTAATGCATTGTGGATATATCAATCAGTAAGGATGATGAAAGATTGTTGACCATTACTAGATGCCAAGTCTCCCTTTTACTATGAGGGATTCTGTATGTATATTTGCAATAAATTCCTAAAAGCATGGTAATGACCTTCTCCAGGAAATTGTGTGTTTGAATGTTGATTTTTTTTTTTTACTGAAATCGGTTTTGTCTGGTTTGTTGAGAACAAAGCAGGAGTGAACTGTTATGGATCCAGTTATTACAATGAAACATTTTCAGCTTTAGGAAACAAACCAATATCACAAGAAAGTAATATCCTACACCCTCTCAACAGTGCAGTGGCATGATTGGCATTACCAACACCTACATTAGAATCAACCAGTACAGATATTTGTTTAGCAGTGCTGTAATTAAAAACACTGTAATGGTGGCTGAAGATTGTGCCAACTGATCATTAGCAAAATAGGAGATTGTAGCTATGCATATAAAGAACTCATTTCAATGGGTTTGGTAATTTTGTGTCTGGTAATATTACTAAACAGCACAAGGTCCTTACACTGTAGTCATTTAGCAAAGGGATGTCTGTGAACTGAGCCTTTATGCTATTCTGATCAAGAGCTCATGGACTTATTTGAATATGACAGAAAGTTTTAAATATGTCACGTTTTGTAATCAGTTTGGTTCTAGTTAAGGTGCCCATACACTGCACGATTCTCGTACGAGAATTGCGGGAAATCCCGCGATCGTACGATAATCGTGCAGTGTATGGAAGGCGTGCAACCGTTTCTAATGTACGGTCGCACGACTTTTGTATTTCGAGCATGGTGGAAAACCAGGCGAGAATCGTATGATTTTCGCCTGGTTTTTAACATGATCAAGAGATAACAGCCGAACGGGTCGGTGTGCACTGGCCGCTGTGCGCACGCTCCCCTCGGGCTTGCGATGATTTATTTACAACAAGGTTGTATATAAAGAAATTGTTTAGAGTTGCAAGTACCTATAGAAGGTTTACATAGTAGAGCATTTTCACTGTAAATCATACATATTCTAGACAGTGAAGACCATTACTAACTGTTTACAACAATACATAGTTAAATAGACTTGCAGAAGCCTATTGTTATTTAATGCTCACATCCACAAGCAGGTGTCACTTCTGCTCTTGTTTTCCATATACTAATGCCTGTCTAAATGCACCATTAACCCCTCCCTGTTTAGAGACAAGCATGTGGCAGTATTTTTGCATGATTTTGTAAAGCTTATTTTTGCAGGTTATGTCTAACTGAAATTCTTGTACATTATTCATATAAATATTTGATGACATCAGTATTTCTGGCAAGACTCTACACTTCTCATTTTGCATAATGCATTTTACCCCAATTTGTCGATTATACTTAAATAATTTGAGGGTATTTTTAATTCTTAAAATTGTGAATATCATAGCTGCTTTAGTCACAGGTTCCAAGAAAGTAAGGCATGACCCCTGATTTTTTTTAATGAAATTATGTATTTATATAATTTGTTTCTATAGTGCTGACATACTTTTTAAGAAAAAGTCTGTGAACCCTTAGTTATCTGGATTTCTGTATGAATGACTTCTAAGATCTCAGAAAAGTCAGAATACTTAAGACAGTTGTATTAATCATATGACTTGCACAACTGTCAGGTTTTTCCTAAACAATTAATTTAAACAATTTTAATGGTAAAGGTAAGTTGCACTGTGTGAAAGCAAAAGAACCCTGATTAACTCTGCAGGCTGACTACCGTCTTACAGTCTTAGTGCCCCTGCAGATGATTACAGACAGACTGATATCAAGATAGATTCTAGTAGGATTGTTCAGATACCAAGTGCCGTACTCGGTACAAGTACAGATACTTTTCCAGCTCTAAGACTAGACTAGAGAAAAATTTAAAAGTTAGGTGGCAGCTGTCATTTTTAAAGAGCACACGGGGCTCCTGGGATTTGTACATCTCTGTTTTAATGTATGACTTTTTAAATATAAATATATATTAGGGATGCACCGATACCATTTTTTCAAGTACAAGTACTGATACTTGTCTACTAGTCCAAGTACTCACAGATACAAGTACTGATAATCTTTTGTTTATTGTCATGCAACAGTTTTTCTAAAACAATATAGACTAATGATTTCAGGAACGCTGTGACCCTGGTAGTTCTTGTGAAAATGCCAAGTATTGGCACTGGTATCTGAACATCCCTAGATTCTAGTACTTATGCTAGTCCTATGTAAAAGTACATATTATGGTTTTGTAATAAACATATCATTGTATAAAATGGTTTTAAATACTTTAAATGAAAGTAGATATTTGTGCAGAAATCTAGGTAGTTTCCAGTTCACAAACTTTTTTGTAAGCCTATATTATAGGGAATGTACAGAGTACATACGGTTCAGTCCCTGCTCGGAGATTACAATCTAAAGTTTCTACCACAATCTTACCAGCACATGCATACACTGCCAATCTGGTCAAAAGCCAACAAATATACTATTATGGATTGTGGTAGTAAGCTGGAGCTCCAGGAAGAAATGCAAATGTTTAGATGTAGCTGAGAATGCTTGCCTAGATTAAGAGCTGGAGGGGGTAATGGGTATTTTTTAGAAAATTGGCATTAGTAGGCAATGGATAATATGATATTAATTTCTGAAAAAGCTTCTCATTTTGCATATGCTTGCCCTTAGGATTATAATCAACCCAGGAAATCACGTTAAGCTGAAAGAAGGCACTCTGGGGTTCTTTATAGCAAGTGATGCCAAGGAAGTTAAACGGTATGTATACGCTGGATTGCTTTTTCACATCACCTGGTGAGCATAGTTGCTTTAAATAGATCATAACAATGGGCGTGAGACCCATCCTCGCTCACATGTTTGGAAAGGTTGGGATACCCCAAGAATTTCTCTGACTCAGCCAACGGTGCATGCAGAAGACATGACAACAAAAAAATAATCGTATTTCTCTGTAGAAAAGATTGGCACACTGTTGCATCAAGATTTCTAATGCAGGCTTCTAAAGTGTTTTGCAAAACCTGTTACTTGTCTCATTTGTCTCTGTTGTGACACACACACACACATACACATACACACACACACACACACACACACACACACACACACACACACACTGAACTCGATGGACCTGTGTCTTTATTCAACCGTAACAACTATGTAACCCTGTTCTTGACCACGGTGCTATCAGCCATGGAAATGTGATATAAGTGCATGTGCATTATGCAGCAATCACCACCTCTATGTGCTTCCATGGATGCCACAAACATGGTGCCTTTACACATATTTAGTAGGATTACCCTAGATGACTTACCAAAGTTTAACAAACTAAAACATGTTGTAGATTAAGTCTAAATATCAGAAAGGTCGCATATGAAACATTAGGAGAACTCCCTGATATTAGAAGGCACAAGACCTGTCTTTATATGGTTACAGTACGATTGTTTAGACATCTTTCTGTTATTTTTAGATGGTCACAACTCTTCTGACCTGAAAGGTGACTGATAAAAAAATATTATTCTTGTCGTAAGGCATGGTGCCTGTTATGCCACAGGCAGCAGGTTTAACCAGGAAATGAAAAAAATTGTCTTGTGTGATCTGTTTGACCATGTAAAACTTGATATA